ACAACGAGGTCAACTCATTTCTATAAATCGAAAGGAGACTGCGACCACACCAGAGGTCACAACATCTTGGTCTTCATATCTTCAAATAAATATAAAATTTGGCCAAACTTAAATAGGCCTATGCAAGTAACTAGTCAGATAGGTGTGTAAATAGGTAGACACAAAGATGATCTCGAGACCTGCTATTCCCGATAGCCATTAAGATGCAACTCAAAATGGTCCAATTGCGAGTTGTAATGTGGAGCTAAGTAAAATTTATATTATCAATAGCTAGTGATAGATACAATTGTAAGGCCAATCTCCCAACTAATAATATCGTAGACAGGGAAAAAATAGTATAAACAGATATAATATAGACTAAGGCTCACCTTGTGTGCGTAATTCACATGGATCCAAGGGCTAGAAATTGGATCCGGGTCTTCCCTTGGCTGAGTGGTATCTTCATCGTGAGGCGAGCCAGTTGTAGGCAGCCCATCGTGACACTTTGTGTCGGTTGGGGTCGTATACGAACCAGGTTCGTGGTGATTCTGAGCTTCGACTACACCTTTTTTCAGAACTTCGCCATTCTTTTCATGCCGTGTGTGGGAGATGAGGGAGAAATTTGAGTTGCCCAAATGCATCTGTTCTTTGTGTTCCTGAATGCAAGGAAGGTCATCGAGTTGTAAAAGCAAGTCCTGCACCTAATGAAACAAATGAATAAACCAGTTCAAGCCTAGTAAGGCATCACACAAGATGCTTCTAATATAAATATCACTACTGCAGAAGGTTAAACTTTACAAATCAAAATTAAACATGGCGGCACGTTTGTCCTTCCAGAGTACTTCGTCTACAGACAGTGAAGACTTTGGTATCATCCCGTCAATGCATTCAGTCATCAGCAGATAGCAAGCTGGAGAAGATTCAGAACGATTTTATTGCGGAATTGTGGAGCATCCGAGACAAAGTCGGTAGACTTAAGGCACAATGATGCTGGCACAAAGTGAATGTTGAAGGCGAGGATATGCAAAAATAAGCACAAGCAAATATCTCGTATAGGCACAAGAAATCGTCAAATAGCTTGCCTTATATTCATTTTTCCGTTTATTATGCCCAAATATTGCTTCCTACCCCAAATTTGCCACAGAGTAAGTCTAGCATAGATTTCCTCACTATAAATGTGGGGATTCAGACTAACTTAACTATCCTAAGGTGATTCGGTCACAAGGCTCCAGCAATAATGTGGCACAAAAGCCAGATCTGGGTTTATAAAATCTGATATTCATTGTAAAGTGTATTGTAAAAAAATATAATATCCCATAAGAAGTAAGACTACAATGAGTGAATTTGTAGCGCTTATGGTTGCAGTGAAACACAAAAACCTAAGCTACCATAAATGAATCTAGAAACGAGCAAAAGATAACAAAATAACAGTGTGAAAAATGACAAATTTGGGCAGAACGGTCAAACGAGACTATAGCTTAATGATTGTAGGCTAAAAAATAATTAAAAAAAAACAAAGCTGAATAAACAGCCGATAATGCAATGATGACGATTCAGAGTAAAGAAAATTCGTTCCAATGAAGAAAAAAAGATATGACGTAAACTCCAAGTTATCCCCTATTGTGGGGACACATGATAGTTGTATTGCAGACGTAAGAAAATCCTGCATGCCATTCAGACGAAATTCAGAAACCGAATTCAGCTGAGATAACAAAACCGATGTACACTTGCTTTTTCTGGGGGCAAATAGCAAATTCAGCAAATGTGCAGCATCCTCCAAAGCCATTGAATGACCTGGCTAAAGTCAACATTTGCGAGACCACTGTATAAGCAAGAGGATACCTGAGGGCCTCAGTTAGATGTATCCTTCGCCCCAACTTTGAACCCTCGGTTCGCATTGCATTACTTACGACAGATGCCAGAAGTAGTTCGGCAACTTTCAACGCTATAAACCAATTAGAAGTAAAGTAATAGTTTCGGTAGTTAGTACTAACAATTTTAAATTGCAATTACTTCCCTTGGCTCAAGTAAATGACCAATTTGCACCTTCTTTTCTTAATAGAATTTTTTTAGAAATGTCTCAAGGAAATCAAGAGGACCAGTTAAGAGTGCAATCTGTGGGTCTGACATGATCAATTTCACAAAGAATTATTTCACTCCACTTTCATTTGGCTGGAGTGAAATATTAAATCAAAGCGCTCATCAG